TTCCTGGTGGTACACTGGATAAGAATCAGCCTGCCAATGCAAGGGACATGGGTTCGATCCCTGGTTGGTGAAGATTCCACATGCCAACTAAACCCTTACACCACAACTGAGCCCATGCTCTAGAGACCTCAAGCCACAACTACTGAGGTCATATGCTGCAACTGCTGAAGCCCGTGAGCTACCGCAATGAGAAGCCCATGCACCGCAACGAGGAGCAGCCCCAACTCACCACAACTAAAGAAAGCTCATGTGCAACAACAAAGAGGATTTTCACATAATCTCAAAATACCACACTCCCTAGATTAATTATCAGTTACAAAGGGAGTGGGGGAATGTGCGCTTAAGAGTAAACTGATCTGGTAACAAACGCCACTTTAATGATCAAATTTAGCATCACCTATAATGGAAAAAAATGGCATTAGGGCCTTGTGAGGTGATGCAAAAAGCACATATCACCTACATAGCAATCATGGAATTCATACATAATCTTAAAGAAACAATCAGCAAATTCAGATTGCAGTATATTATGTAAGACAAATGGCCTAGATTAATTCTTCAATAAAGTTTTAGCATCATTGAAAAAGAGGGGAGGGAGGCAAGGGACTGCTCTATACTAAAAGAGACTAAAGTGACATAGAAACCAAAAGTAATATGTGACTATGACTGAATTGTGAATCAGAAAACAAACAAACAAACAAAAAAAAGGTGTAAAAGGTAAGTGGAAGAGAAAAAATTTAAATATAAACACTGCATATTAGATAATGAATTCATGTTATTTTCCTTAGGTATGATATAGGTATCATACCTATATGATATGGAAAAACGAGGAAAATGTCCTCATTTTTCGGAGATGCATACCTGAAATTTTTTTTGTTTTTGAGGTTAAGGGGGTGAGGGAATATCTTGGTGACTACAACTTCTCTCACATAAAGCAAATTGTGGGGGTGGGGGGGGGAGGGGTGTATGTTTAGAGAAAAGGAAAAAAAGCACCCACAACAAAGTGTTACAATCTATGAAACTAAGTGAAAAGCACATAGGAGTTTGTTGGACTATTCTTCAACTTTTCTATAGATTTAAAAGTTTTTCAAAATAAAAGTTTGTGGAAGGGGGCAGAAATAGCTAAATCAAGCATAGCCGAGATCCAGTAATAAAAATGGGAGGGGGGGGAATTATCTTGTTTTTAAAAAAGAAAAAGATTAGCTTTTACTATAAAAATATACAGAGGAATGATATATATGGTTTTTCTATTATTAACCATGTCCTTCCTGATGAAGCATATGTAACAAACTCATTTATTCCTGGAGTATCTGTATTAATTAAATACCACTTTAAATTTCCCTGAAACATGGTTATTTAAAGTAATTATAATGATATCATCTTTATAAACTCAGAATTAGAATTAGAATAATGAATCTTACTCTAAATGAACCAGAGCAGTCCCATAAACATAGACCCTAAGTTGCCTACCCTTCTTAGAAGGAAGATAAAAACCAGACAGCAAGGTGACAAGTTTACTTAAGCTTGTGCTCTGCAGGAAGCTAATGGGCAGGGAATAACCGGTTCAACAAAAATGAGAAGGCAGACCTTTTCATCTCTTAAATCTTTAACCCGCGTCTTCATTGTTTTGAAATAGTTATGAATTTCTTATATTAGAAAACATCACAGCTAATCTATTGTAACATGACTGGAGGTAAATTACAATAGAAAAAATCTAAATGGCAAAGTTAATTTGGAAATGAGCTTAACTATCTATGACTATGTTCCTTGAGAATTCACCTTTAAACAAAACAATGAAGTCACACTATGAAGATCTGACAAAGGAGAAATGGAAAGTTTTTCTTTCTTCCTTCATCTTGAATCCTACCTCCCTCCTGAAAATCTCTTAACAGAAAATAGCAAAATTTGAAAATAATTCCATCTCCATGAAACTAATCAAGCTGTATATTTACTTTACATACACTTCTATGAAGATATGTGATACTCTGATTGAAAGGTTTTAAACTTTTTAAAAACTAAAACATGTAGATGCAAGACTAACAAAACATACAGGATCTATAGGCTAAAACTTGCAAGTCACAGATGAAAGAAATCAAAGGAGTTCTAAATAAATGAAGAGATACGCCATGTTCCTAGAGTGGAGGACTAAATATAAAAATACCAGTTCTCCCTCAAAATGATCTAGAGATTTAGTATAATATCTATCAAAATCACAGCAAGATTTTTTTGCATCTATAGATGAACTTACTTTAAAATTTATATGGAAATGCAAAAAACTAGCATACCTAAAATCATAAGCTTTACTATCAACTTAAAACTAACAAGGAAATATTAAGAGATGTAAATAAAATATAATCTAATCCTCAAAAAGAAAACATTTTGAAAATAAGATCATGCCAAAAATTTGCTTGGGCAAAGAGAATGATTAACAAAGCAAACTACTAGATGTAATCATGAAAACAGAAAGCGAGAGCTGATAAAGAACCAACTTCAAGTATAAAAAACCCTTCCACAACCCAACACAACAGGCTCCTTTCCCCTCCCACCACTGCAACAGTATATGGATAATTAGAGATGGTAACATACCCCCCACACAACACACAAACTCACTAAAAAAGCCCATATTTAGACTGTTTCAAAAAACTTATACTTTATTCTTTTTAATGCTTACTTAAGAATCTCAGTTACTTGTCTTTTAATCCAGTATAGTGTGAAAAGTTTTTTCCACATCAAACAACAAAACAATCAATGACCCCAAATTCTACAGAGAAAAAAAAAAACACTAAAATAAAGCTTTATACTACAGTGCAGTACCCCCTCTTGATCTGCAAGGAATATGTTCCAAGAGCCTTAGTGGATACCTGAAACTAAGGCCAGTACCAAATCCAAATATATTATGTTTTCTCTACACATACATTGGGCTTCCTTGATAGCTCAGTTGGTAAAGAATCCACCTGCAATGCAGGAGACCCCAGTCTGATTCCTGGGTCAGGAAGATCTGCTGGAGAAGGGACAGGCTACCCACTCCAGTATTCTTGGGCTTCCCTTGTGGCTCAGCTGCTAAAGCATCTGCCTGCAATGTGGGAGATCCGGGTTCAATCCCTGGGTTGGAAAGATCCCCTGGAGAAGGGAAAGGCTACCCACTCCAGTATTCTGGCCTGGAGAATTCCATGGATTGTACAGACCATGGACTTATACATTATATACTTTTACATTATATATATACTTATACATTATGTACATTATATATATATGTATACATATACAACACATATATACATTATACATTATAAAGTTTAATGTATAAATTAGGATAGTAAGAGATTAACAATAATAAAATAGAATAACAATATACTGTAAAACAGTATATATAACAATATACCATAATAAAAGTTACATGAATATGGTCCTTTTCTCAAAACATCTTATGGTACAAATATAATGCCCTTCCCATCTTAACCAAGCACTTATCATGCACTGGAGCCATAACTTAAGCAATTTGAGGTGCATCAGCAAAACTATTACAAATTTTCTATTTCCTTCCTCACAATTTCACAGGTAGAAGACTCATTCTTATCATAGAGTTTAGCAACCTCAGTATATGATTTTCTTTACGAAGTTGAGAAGTTTCACTTTTCCCTTAAAGGAAGCACCTGACTGTTTCTTTGGCATATCCGAATTACCGGCATCACTGCTTTTGTTGTATTTTAAGTAAAATAAGGGTTCCTTGAACTCAAGCACTGTACAAAGGGATGATTTATGGAGCAGAACCACCAAAGATTTAATCAAGTTACTCAGAATGGCAAGCAATTTAAAAATTATGAATTATTTCTGGAATTTTCCATTTAATATTTTCAGACCATGGTTGACAGTGGTTAACTGAAACTACAGAAAATGAAACCATGGATAAGGGGTGACTACCGTACTCACTGCCTCCTTAAATTAATCTAACCCCAAACAGGTTTTTTTATCTATTCACCCTGTTACTAACAGGTCAGCTATTAAACTGTGTGTACTGGGGAAGGGACTGAACATCTCAGTTGGTCCAGGATGCTATCATTTTATGCCTATTGTCCCTGCATGTACCTTTTTTACTATGATAGAGGCAAAAGACCAAATGCCTATGAATATTCTCTTTTAAGAACACAATATGTTAGGTTATAAAGCAATATATATATATATATATATGTGTGTGTGTGTGTGTGTGTGTGTGTGTATATATAAAATTTTGAAACAATTCTGAGTATATAAAAATCTAGAAAAAATCTCAAGAACTACACATTAAAATTTAACAGTAGTTACTCTGTGTGATGAGGTAGTTTTCTTTATAGTCCTCTATACCATCTAAAAACTACTGTTTCCAATTAGCACATACTATCTTTTACACTTAGGAGGGAGTCACTTCCATTTGTCAAAATGCAGTTTTTCTTTCTGACCCAAGTGATCTCATTCCAAAAGCATGCACTACTCTTACATGTTACTCATTAAGAACCGAGGCAATGTGATATAGTATACGAAATTTTAGCCTTTAGGATGTACCATATTTAAATTCAAGAACCAGATTTGGACTCCCCTGGTGGTCTAGCAGTTAAGATTCTCTGCTTCCAATGCAAGAGGCACAGGTTTGACCCCTGATCAAGGAAGTTCTGCATGCCACATGGTATGCACCCCCACCAAAAAAAAAAATTCAAAACCCAGCTTTGTTGTAGAAAATTTAAGACCTACCTGCCTTTCAGGATTGTTTAGAGGATCAAACAAGAGTCTACATGAAAGCAGAATGAAGTACAAATGCAAAATGCAAAATGAAGTACACTTATGTGAGCTATGATTACTACTATAAGCACATGAACAAAATTTGGAACCTCAGATCTCATATGTAAAATGAAGGGGTCTTATAAAGTAAGCTCCAACTCCCTTCTACATCTGAAATTCTGGTATAACAGTGTCCTCTTAACTCAGCATTCTACTTACATACATCTAATCTATATCTTTGAAAGGTGTACCTTTTTTACGGATAACAGTTTCCAGGTTTCCATGTTTTCTATCTTCACTGGGACACAGTCAGCTCTCCACATTCTTCTCTCAGACCCTGATTGCCTGAAAGTTAAAGAAAATATGTATGGTCCTTCCAAGCAGAGTTTATATCCCCTCTTAATCTAATTTGTATTTCATGATCTCCATCTGCCACATCTTGCAGTGCAGAGCAGTGGCTTTGCACAAGGACTCTGGAGCCAGGTGCCTAGGTTTAGATTCTGGCCCTCCTGTATCAACAACTCTGCAGTGAACTACTTGCTTAATCTCTCTGTGCCTCAATTTCCTCATCTGTAAAACTGGGATAACAACAGTGCACCTACTGGATAAGTTTGTTGTAAAGATTAACAAATTACAAATTATATATAAAGGACTGAAAACAGTGTCTAGCATGTAATGTTATATATGACTGAAGTCCTTTCCTAACATGGCTTCTCTAAAAGTATAATGCTTGGGACTTCCCTGCTGGCCCAGTGGTTAAGACTCTGAGCTCCCAATGCAGGGGGCCCAGGTTCGATCCCTGGTCAGGGAATTAGATCCCACATGCTGCAACTAAGACCTGGTACAGCCAAATAAATGAATAAATAAAAAAAATAAATAAATAAAAGTATAATGCTTACAGCCTAAGATAAAACAACCAACCAACATTTGCCTCTTTCTTTTATTCTCATTGGAAAAAAAAGTCTTACTTTTTAAATTGTTATTTATTTATTTTTAATTGGAGGATAATTGCTTTACAGTATTGTTTCTGCCATATATCAACATGAATGACCCACACATATACGTATATACCTTCCATCTTATTATTTGTCTATCAAAAATTTCCCCACATCACTATAGTGAAGTAACACACACTCTCATCATTAGACATTTTTCTTTATTCTCTGTTCAAACCCTCCAATCCACTATTTCCCAAAATCTGTTTCCTTTGGAAAATTTGTTCCACTAGTTCTTCAAGATGCTATGGGGGAACAGGGGGAAGCCTCAGTTATCAAATAAATTTGGAAAATGTTGAGCTAATATTAAACAGGTTCCTTACTGTAGGTCTTTTTCATGTTAACATGTACTATACTATGTATCAAGAGAGAAAAAAGTACACATAGTGTATCAGTTTACTTGACCTCAAAACCTTTGTGTCAAGGATCTACACTGGGAAGTGCTGCTGCTCTAGTTCTTTGACAACTTTTAATACAAAATATGCTATGTTACATTAACTCAAAATTTCTTAAATCTGATTCACACCAAAGCATATTCTCAAATTCATGCCAAGAAATCAGACTCAAAAAACTAATAACTGCTGCCTTGAACAAATTACTTTTGAAATGTCTGAAAATGAACACTGACTGCAAAAGAACAAACCCCAGTGACCAGCTACACATGCTACAAGACAAGCTGTTATCTCATGATGGTGTGTTCAGCTATTTATTGGCCAAATGTAAAACTCTAGTTATTCAAAGTTCCCAAGTGTTTTCTGGATTTTCAATAATAAAGATCTGCACTCTTTCCTTTTTAAAAGATTTCAGTAGAGAACCTTGTCAAATCATCCCAGAACCCATTCAGATATAAATACAAGGTCCAAAATGTACAATTTACACTGCTGAAGGACTATCCTAAAAAACACCATCTTAAAAAAAAACCAAAACATCTAATACATGAACAACAGAATTTCACTATTTTGCAATCCCTGATGAATGATCATCAATAACTGCCAATATCACAAAAAGAGAATAAGACCTGATGGAAACACAAATTACTCCTATGAAGTACACCTACGAAAAGAAAAAAAAAAAAAAGCAGACAAATCTGACCATTTNAAAAAAAACCCAAAACATCTAATACATGAACAACAGAATTTCACTATTTTGCAATCCCTGATGAATGATCATCAATAACTGCCAATATCACAAAAAGAGAATAAGACCTGATGGAAACACAAATTACTCCTATGAAGTACACCTACGAAAAGAAAAAAAAAAAAGCTGACAAATCTATCCATTTACTACAAGAAATTCAGGGGACAGAATGTGTTAAATGACTTTTACAGTACATAGATGCAATCAGCAAAATGAGACTATGGGAAATTTCTCAAAAACCTGGTTTCTTAAATTAACAAAAAGAAAAAAAAAAAAAAGGAAGGAGAGCCTAAAGATTAAAAGTGATTTAATATACAAGATAATTGTAAAGTATAGACCTTATTTGGAATCCACTTCAAGCAAAAATTAATTCTTATTTACAAGCCTGTTAATAATATCCAGCCAGTTTATGGCTTTTCATGAAAATAACAGTCTAATTATGATTTTTTAAAATTTTTATTTAAGTTGTAGACAGTATTGCAGAGTCACTGCTACTATTCCCGTGAGCTCATGGTACTTCTGGAATTTATCATCAGAAGACATACTGTATAAATGCTCCAGTTCACCAAGCTCCAAACAAGACTAGTTTTATCTTGTGTACAAGAACTCTTTCCTGCCTTCCTATACTGAAATAAAGAGCCAAGCCAACAGATGGCAGACCAAGAGGGAGGGGGTGGTAATAAGGAGGCAATTATAAGAGAGCACCATGGAAAAGGAGAACAACACTGAGAACTGAAAGATGCAACTTAAAAATACAAAACATTCAGCAATCATACAGATTTCTGAAAACCAATGTCACATTTTATGAATCATCATTAAAGTGAAGTGATTCTATAAATCTGCACCTGATTTCACTCCCTTATACAGCATATCTTTAAGAGTTTTGAAAATTTCCTCTTAATATCTCAGACCAATTTAATCAGTGCAATTCAGAATAGCTTCAAAATGAACAGGAGGAACAGGTGACATACTAAATTTTTATCAGCATTTCCCTACTGTCACACATTACATGAGTCATTTCAGAAGCTATCACAATTCCCTTTTAGATTCCAAAGAAGCAAAGTGCGCTACCCCTATGCTAATCTACAATATAAACAAAACAGCATCAATATTACTATAGCCTAACTGGAAAAGATCTTAACGAAAAATATCAGTTTAAAAAAGATTACAACTGTGTTGCTACTAGAATTATATTTTTAATCTAAGCTGTATCTCTTAAAAATGTCTAGGCTTTAAGTATAACAAACACTAAGAACATACCAATTACAATAGGCCATCTTTGCCCAAATTCATCATGCCAAGTATATTCTGCCTCCAGATGAAGAACTTCTCAATCACTAATGTAAGAGATCAAGTTCATAACACCATACAATGCAGAAGACCACCATTCACACTCTGGCAGTTTTGCAAAGCAACAGCGATGTCTTTTATGAATAGAATCTTCATAAAAGAGGATCAAGCAACTAGAGGTTATTCAAGGGCTTGTTCCTTAGACAAGCACCTTTCTCCTCTGTGGAAACTTATCAAATGGCAAAATATCTATCCTTCCTATTCCACAGAGGTGTTATGAAGATAAACTGAGATGTTTCCCAAACTACGTGGGAAAGTGAAAAGCTATATACAAATGTAAGGCATTATTATTTTATTACTTGTTTGCACTCCAGACAGTTTTCAGACTAAACTTGACTGTTTCAAGGTCTACCAAGAAAAACTTATTTCAGGGTATAAAAATTCGCTAACATTCACCTTTTTAAAATAGCAAAGTTCAATCCTTATTCCAACTGTTGTTCTCTTCTAACATCTATTACCTTCTTTGGTACAAGAAAACTACTGATAGAAACATTCTTTAAGAAGTCAAAGCAGAGCTTCCTTAGTGGCTCAGTAGTAAAGAATTTGCCCGCCAACACAGAAGACACTGGTCCAATCCCTGATCCAGAAAGATCCCACATGCCAAGAAGCAACGAAGCCCATGCACCCCAACTACTGAGCCAGTACTCTACAGCCTGGGAGCAGCAACCACTGAAGCTGGGGCGCCCTAGAGCCAAGCTCCACAAGAAAAACACCCTATGAAAAGAGAGCTTCCCTCGAAGCTCAGTCGGTAAAGAATTGGCCTGCAATGCAGGAGACCGGAGTTCAATTCCTGGGTCGGAAATGGCAACTCACCCCAGTATTCTTGCCTGGAGAATCCCATGGCCAGAGGAGCCTGGCAAGCTATAGTCTATGGAGCCGCAAGATTCAGACATGAGTGAGCAATTAAGCACATGAGAAGAGAAGCCCAAGCACCACAACTGGAGAGTAGCCCCAGCTCACCGCAACTAGAAAAAAGCCCCCATAGCAACAGACCCAGCAAGCCAAAATAAAAAAATAAAATTATTTTTTAAAAAGCCAAAGCAACACACAACACTTAAAAGTCTGCCTCTTTGACAACATGAGCTTCTGAACGCCTATGTAAAACAGTCCTGCTCAAATGACATTATTTGCATGGGATTTTAAATCAGATAAAACCATCACTCTGAGGCTGGCTATTTCCATGCCCTGCCCTGCAGAGTTTCTACCCACATCTGCCTTTGTTTCTGAATTCAGATCCAGGCGCCACCATTTACCAGCTACAAGATCTTTGGCAAGCACCTTTCTGTGTGTGCTTCAATCTCCTATCTACAAAATAAACAAGTTAAATTGGTTTAAACAATAAACAGTTCAACCAGATTTAATATGATTTATACAACAGAGCAAAGTTCTTACATTAGTGCCTGGTGTACAATAAATACTCAATAGGTGTTACCTAACATTAATTCTTTATATGTGCATCTGTCCATTATGCCATACCACCTTCACTAAATTATATAAATCTCTCCATCATTCTTCATCATTCCTTCTTTTCAAAAGAATAAGCAATTTTGAGAAGTCAGAAACTATGACTATACTACTGACAAAATTTAAATATACATCACTGAATGTTCAGATGTATAAGAAAGTTCAGTGATACCTTATACAAAAGATACTGGCCCCCACATGCTTTTCAATTATATTAACACATAAATAATATAATATTCCTAGGTTATCCTAGATTTCTCATACTATCAGTTAGCAAATTTGCTTACTTGAATTATATCACTTAAAACTTTCCGTGAACAGTTTTACTGTATAGTGACTAACAGGAAAGGTCTTTAAAAGTGGCAAAAGTTGGCCTCCCTGGTGGCGCAGTAGTAAAGA